AATGTTCTACGTATAGCCTACTGCTATTAGAACATGAGCTGAGTTGACTGAAGGTCTGTTTGTGACCTGCAGCTTCTTATAAAACCCAACATGTGACCAGACTGGGACCAATCGGACACCAGGAGCTTCTCATTTGACAGTGGAGTATCATCTGAAGACGACCCCTGGAGCTCCACCAGGGTTCTCCTGCAGGTGGTTGGACGTGGGCTGATGGGAGGGTCGGTGTGTAAGGAGGAGGTGCAGGAGGAGAAGAGGAGGAGCCCGGCCAGGGAGGACAGTCTGACGTCGGCCGACAGAATCCGTCGATTCACCGTCAGACAGTTTGGATTCACCGTCCTGAGTCTGACCCGCCGAGGACTGAAGGTGGGACTCCAGCTGCCAAACGCTGTTGCAGCAGATTCAGATTCAGAAGCTGCACATTGTGTCTGACCCAGTGTTCTTCATGGGTTCTTCTCGTGTTCTCTGCAGGAGGTTCCAGAGGAGCTGTGGGAGCTGCTGGAGCTGCAGAAGCTGAACCTTTCTCTGAACAGTCTGAAGGGGGTTCCTCCTCAGGTGGCTCTGCTCTCCAATCTGGTGGTCCTCAACCTGTGGGGGAACCAGGTGAGCACCAGGACGGAGGTCTGTGCTGAGGAACCCTGCGCTCCACACAGACACATGCAAACCAGCAGCAGCAGCTGGTTCTGACAGAACAAAGATCATATAAACAGAACATCTGTGAGCTGATCATGACCAAAAGTGATCTTAGAATTATAATTCATCCAGAACTCTTTATTTTGCTTCTTTACATCAGATTTAGAAAAAAAAAACCCAACAAAAACAAAGCAGATTGAAATGAGACACAAAACAGCCCGAAGAAAGAAAAGAAGAGCTCAGACACACAATACGGCCAGAAAGAGCTCCACTGAGTCCTTGAAACAAGACCGACGAGGCACCAAGATGCAGAAGGACAGAAACAGCGATGAGACAAAACAACAGAAAGAGACACGAAACCAGGCGACAAGAAACGAGTCTGTTACACTGGTCACGGTCCAACCGCTGCAGTTAGGGTTAGTTAGGTTTTTCAAATCTGTCTCGATAGCTTCCCCTGCCGTGCCCGACAACAAAGCAGTTTGGGGTAGAAAGCAAAGGCGATGCACTGGCCGTCGCATGTTTTCATTGCTCTCCTTGTTGTAGGTTAGTGTCATTTTGTAAACCACTTGGGTGTTAGATTTCTGACGTAGGGTTAGTTAGGGTTAGTAGGGTTAATTAGGGTGGGCAGGGTTGTTAGGGGGCTGCAGGGTGGCGCAGTTGGTAGCACTGTTGCCTCACAGCTAGAAGGTCACCGGTTGGCGTCCCGGTGAGGACACCCGGGATCTTCCTGCGTGGAGTCTCCATGTTCTCCCCGTGCAGCGTGGGTTCTCTCCGGGTTCTCCGGCT